CCCTCCCCCCGTTAGGACACAACGTCCTCGTTGGGCCACATCGATCCGGGTCTGGCTCTGATACCATTTGTAACGCCCCCAGAACCCCGTAGCATGATATTGTCCGCTTTGGCACGCTATACCACAATGCCTCACGGTTTTGTTTTCCCCGCTATACCACAAGGGAAACCGGTCACACTAGGCTGAGGTATCCACACCCTTATAAGGAGTGCTTAGTTCTCCTCACCAACCGATGTGGGACGGGTTGTTACACTATCAAACAAAATTTAAATCCTGCACCAGTGCTGGAGTTCCTAAACTCTTCAGATCCTCTTAGTCATTCAACACTCTTCATTCAGTTCTACCCATCAACACATTGACAAAACAGAACCATGGTAAAATGATCAAGTTATATGTGATATGTTAAGGAGCATGCAAGAAAAATAGAAGTTCCGTAAAACACACACACATACGTATAGTTTGGTAAGTGGAGAAAGCATCACATGTACAATATCTCAATAAATGGCAATAAAAATGAATACGAACAAACTGGGTATATGGCTATCTATGAACAATATCGTAAGTACCCATTTCTTGATTGCAATGAATACCAACTTTAAATAAATAAGCTTACTTGATATGATACACCTTATATAGGTCACTTATTTATACTCAAATTGTACGAACCTAAACAAGTGTAATTATAATAACCCTCGTGAATGAGTGAAAATGAAATCTCGGCAGTACCATTTATCTACGTTGAACCAGAGTTTTGGTTACCTTCAAGAAGGAGGTACTTCTAATCTGTAGTGGGAACTTTGGTGAAATAATTGTTTTTATCTGATACTAGCCTACGAGAGCTTATTCACATGAAATAGAAACCAAAAAGTCAGAAGTAGCGATATAAGACCTATTTTGCATAATCTTAGTTCATACCGATAAATGAGTAAACTTGAAGGTTCAGAATCCAACGAAAAGATGGAGGGACCATTGAGCTTCTAGCTCAATTTGTTATTGCTTATTGCCTAGTTATCCACAAAATTTACATGTATCTAGTAGCAAGTTCAAAGACGAAATGATTACCATATGCAGCTTTTGGTTTACCAAACAAGTTGATAAGTCAAGTGTGCCATTGGTTGGCATCCGTGGCAATGGCTGGCACTCTTCCCAACACCAACGGACTTCTCTAATAAACTCTATCCATAGTACGGCAATGGCTAAACATAAATAACAACGAACTTTGGTAAGGGAAGTGAAACAAGAATAATGGTAGTCAAATAAAAAAAATTGAATCACTAGTTCAAGTTTTCAAGATAGTGTCACCAACAAAATCATTATATTTGCTACTATACCACGTATGTTGCAGTCTCCGAACCATAACGAGTGTAAGCAAAATTGAGCAAACAGATTTTCCAAGGGAGCGCCCTTGATAGTTCGAGAACTCTTGTGTCCGCCTTGGGGAGAAATGAGTCCAGGTCCTGCAATGAAGAGAGGTAATCAACAGTCGGCATGCATCTATATCTCGGCTGTGGAAATTTGAGTTGTATTCTTATGCTGTGATTTTCCATATTATCATTCTGGTCGATGACCATTCTGATCTTATCACAACTACTTCAGAACAGCAGAAGTAGAATTAGCAGGGGAAATAGAATGAACACACACTCCCGAAATGCAAAAATGCAAGAATTCAGAAAAACACTTGGGGCACGTAAAGTGCAAATCCAATGAAGATTGAAGACATAACTATGTTTAACAAGTTTAAACCACATCTTTTTCTAAATCATATAAGCATATCAAACCTTTCAGGTACGTAAAGATCACCAGTGGTCCTCTTTATCCCATGCTGCAGGAGTATAATTGGGTCTGAGACCACTAAGAGGTATCACCATTGTACTACCTAGTCCTGAGGGCATACCTAAGTTCAACGCTAGCAAGAACATAGACATAACCACAATGCATTCCCAATCAAGACGTGGAAACTTGAAGTGAGTTACTTGAATCACTGGAGCTTTAAGTACTCAACCCATAAAGTGGCTAGCTATCACCTATATCCACGTATTCTTTTTAGGTTAGGTTGTTCAAACGGGACGATAAAGAACTTGAAACCGGATGAATACGTGTCCATAAAACAAAAGAGCTGTGCAGAGAAACCACTTGATATGAAGGAAGTGCTCTATAAAGGGTATAGGTGTCTGGAACTGTCCCGTCTGGACAAAGCTAAAAAGCTACTTAACTAATCAGGAAATACATTAGAGATGGACCTTTCGAAGAGGAATTCAGGGAGCATGATTCATAAAGGTCTACTTAGATGGGAACATGTCTTTCTCTCTTACAATTTACTCTTGGTTAATAGTCTAGAGCAAATAGTGCAGATAAAGGCAATTTCAAGTTGAAGCAAGTAGAAAAATACTCATGTGCTACAAAATTTCATTTACACAACAAACTCTTAACATATAAATGATGATAGGATCTACTAGACCAAAACATGTAACAGACCACACAAAGGAAGCTTTCTATGCTCAAAACCAATATTTAGTGCCCAAAAATTGGTAGTTCCAATACAAGCAGTGCCACAGTAAAAGGGCAGGCCAGCTTCATGGAGCTTTTCAATGGTTAGGAACCAGCCTATGATCAGTAAATTGGTGTTTTCTGGTCAACGGTGGTATAATGACTAGGAAAGGGTATGTATACCAGTAAACGTGCATGTTACAAATATTTAATTGCTTGTATTGTATGAACATTGATCTTGTAAAGCCCAAGACTGGAACGACCTGCAACAAGTAAGAATGATATGGTCGTTTCGGGTTTATCATATGGTGTACCATTTAACAGACAATTGAACAAGAAAAGATATCCATCTGGTAAACCCCTGATTACTAAGAATATGGGGTTATTCATATCTTTAGAGAAGCAGCCTGTGTGGCTGACAGTTTAGCTTCTTTTGACTGCCTTCTATCATCTTAATAGATTTTGTAGCTCCATCAATTTGATGCCAGCTGATAATAGCAATCTGTTTTTGATAATAGATCAGTACTCACTTCCAATTAAATCATTTTTAGCTTGGGGATTAATTCTAAATGCTGCCTTTTGTTTCTCCATTGATGCATTGTCTGGACTCATGGTCATTTTATTCATTGCTGCTAACACAGGGGCGGACTTGAAGTCTTCATGGGGCCATCTGCTAATTGGCAGGGTGTTTTCTAATACTAAAAACGAAATGTAACCATCTGAGGCATGCAGACGACGGCTACATTGTCATAAAAAGTTGTAAAGCTAAATGACTTGATTGATTATCGAAGTTTAAGACTTCTCTTTGGAATTCAAGAATAACATGAAAAATCTTCCATCATTTATCTCAACACTAGTCTAGCAATACAAGCAATATAATATGTTTTCCATCATTTATGATACTTTTGTTGGGATGGATCGTATAAAGATATATGTGCTAATAACCATCCCTGAAGAGCTCTACCATGTAGAAAGCATAAACTGCTTAAAAGGAAAATGTACCCGCATGACAAAGATCTTTGAGCACGCGATCAAGAACTGTCGGTGGAGGAATTACTGCAGATGACTTCAATTTGTCAGATCCTGATGTTTCAACTGCAAAGAACCGTAACAGAAAAGTGAGCAATATAAAAGATTTGTAAATTATTTCACAAGACATCACCAAAAAGAACAGAAGCTTCAACCTGTTCTCTATAATAAAGGGAAAAAACACACAAATATACAGGCAATCTAAGCTGATTTATAGGTAAGCCCAGACCTGAAACAAAATCTTCCATGAATTGAACCTCCAAGGACATAGCCAATGCATCAATCAAGAGACGAAGTTGTGAAGCAAACCCAACCATGTTTCCCATATGATCACCCATGCTACACAACAATATTGCATCATTCTATAACAGTTGGGAGAAGATAAATCACCAGAGAATATGATCAAACTAAATTCCAAAATACAAATACATTAAACTCAGGAGGTCCATCAATTCTCTGGGACGAAAAATATAACAAAAAGAGTCAGGCCCAAATGACCATGATATTATGGTTACTTGACGAGTAAAGAAGAATGTAAAAATTATAAGCACAAAAAGTCCATCGAAGTATGTGGAGAAATAACAGTTTGAAGATAATCTAACAACAGAATTCCTTACAGATATGAAGAGAATTCGGGAACAATGAACCACTTTTGAGCCTCATGGATAGAAGCATTTTCCAGTTCAGCCATCTCCATGGAGCTTTCAACCGTTTTCTCTTCCCACATGGCAATCAATTCAAAAGCTGCAGACATTATATGCATATATAAGCAACAAGAAAGAGATGCATTTATAAAATATAACACAGATTTACCAAGGCTCCAAATATTCTCAATCTCCTATAAATAGCATGTTCAGTTTTTTTTCCAATTCCGGTGCCTGTTGACCAGTTTAGAGAGATAACAGGTTATAATTCTTGTTAACAAAATGCTTGCTACATTTCCTTGACCCAGGAACAACTGAAAGATTTGACAACAAAAAGGAAAAAGAATCGAGCATTAGTTCTTCGACACTCCAAAAAACTTATTAGCCCACTGAATATGGCATACACAAACTATATTGTAAAGCCCACTGAATATGGCATACACAAACTATATTGATCTTCCAGGGTCTTAGAGTAGCTTCATTTATGTTGCATAAGTGCATTTCTGCTCTAACAGGGGCATTATAGTCTCATTTACTACCAGTAACGACCTAACAACTGAAACTATGAACTAGAAGAAAGGCCACTGATGTTGCTAGTCTTGACAAACATTACCTTTTACGGGGTCTTCTGCAGTGTACCACTCACTCCAAGGACAATCATCATCCCATTGTAGTTTGTTGCGGCTATCACTTACAGTATCCACACCAGATTCAGTAATCTCGGAGTCGGATTTTTGCAATTCATTGTCATCATCGTAAGGAAGAGTTTTGTATGTTAGCTTCATGGTGAAATGAACTCTGAAGAGATGTGTCGAAAGGTCTGACGAGGAGAAGGCCTACAGCATAACAGTTCAGTTGATAAATAGCGAATAGAAGGTATGTGCAATGGCCAGAATGACGTTTCTAAAAGTGAGCTCAAGGTGCAAAAGAATTGGGAACTTTTAACTGTTAATTCAGTAGCTCAGCACAAAAATAGCGTGCAGTCAAACATGACATGGTTTAGAAAGTAGAAAAAGATAGCAAGTATAATCAAATTTCACAGGTATATTATATACATACATAACCATGTTTCCAGTGAGAGATTAATTAGAAAGGGCATAAGATTAAGATAACAGGCAAATAAATTGATGGTTTAAGAAAGCTACAGCCTCTGGAACATCCACTTACAAATTTAAAGAGAGAAACACATGAAAAATGCATTTTGAATGGCATAGAAATCTGATAGCACGTAGCCAAATCAACAAATTAGAGTTTGAGACTGATATAAACAACAGAGCCTATGGCATCAGAAGATAAGAGTGAGGGAGGTGACTTACAAACTTAGAGACAAACAGCTCATACAATCCCTCCAAATGCATAAGTTTTACTGGAACCTGACTAGCAATAAGATCTGCCTCAAATCTTCGAGTGAAGACTGTCCCCATACTTTGGATACCAATGTAAGCTTTTCGAGAAGGATCATGCACTGGAACAAATGCTGGCCATAAACTAAATTGTCCAAGTGTTCATAGAATCAGAATCCAAAGATATGATAGTTACGCTTCTCATCCAAGAGAACCAAATACTTAATTTGAATAGGTAGTTAAAAATAACCAAGTAAAAGAACCGACTTCTAACAACCAAGTAAAAACCTTAAAAGAATAAGTGAACTCCTGTTTTCCAATCTTCTATTTTTCAGGGCCATCATGTAACAACACTTGATACTTCAGAGAAAAACATTATATTCAACATAATTATAGAAGTAGACATTATATTGAGCAGCAGTCCCACCTAGAACAATTTGAGAAGGCTATAGCAACTGCACTTAGAAGCTTGCTAGCCTCTGGTGAATCAAGAATAACCCCACTGGCACTTTGAGGTGCAATCACCTGTTTACATTTGAAACATAAGTGCCTTTATATTTAATTATTTGACAGAGACATATGAAGGTTAAGATGATGAACTGTAGATACCATGAATTCCTTCACACCAAAAGATAATTGCAGGTCATGTGAAGTGCAATTCCAATCTACAACCTTTCCTGAGCAAGATAATGCAACAATGAATATGATAAGATTAGCAAGAAAAGGGCTGAAACTGAAACCGGTAGAGGTGTTTCAGATATACCAGCATTACTAATTTCGAAGTAGTACTCCATGCAATAGTTTTTCATAGCATATTTCAGCTCTGACTTGACCTTATACAAGTTCTTCGGTTCCCCCAGGGGAACAGCTCCCTTTTCCTAAAGGAAGAGTACACAAGAATATATCAATGGTGATAATCTCTTGGTGGCACAATTGCCAGAATACCAAATCTATATGCAGTTTGTACTAAACCATTAAAAGATGCCCGTTAGAAACAAAAGATATCCGAAATTCTGTACAGTTCCTAATGTTATAGCATACAGATTTCTTGATAAAACAGAAAAACTATAGTATATATACAGACGACAAACAGAATAAAAATCAAAACAAAAAATGAATTGAAAACGATAAGCAAAGCTACGCAAAAATCAAACAAAAAAAGAAGCAAGAAAGAAACGAAAGGGAAAGAGTATAAATAATTCTCTTAATGGTTAAAAGATACAATTATATCTGTATTGAGAGAGGGGAAGGGAAAGCCAGAAAGGTCACATAAAAAACATTCGACGTATATTTAGGCTAATGTCAAAAGGAACACCAGTTGGTTGGATTCTACGCTAAGATTTAGCAGTTGCATTTAATGCTCCTCATACTCCTTGAGCTTAATTAAACGATAAATGTCCACGGAGCAAAAGTAAATTAACACACAATTAAATTCTGTATCAAATACAATTTAGTATAATGTCTCCACAGATTTGTAAAACAAATATGCATACTGGAGTATCCTGTTACATCAAGCATACCAACAAATTTTTGGGACCACTTGCTAACCATTGTCGACAAACAGCCTCGATTTCTGATATGAACCTACAAATAACGAATTTAGCAAAATTAAATTCTTCCACTTTAAACTGACAAATGATCCAAACAGGTACGTATATAGAAACCTCTATAGGATTTGGACATGCATTAAWRTATATATATATATATATATATATATATATATATATATATATATATATATATATATATATATATATATATATATATATATATATAAAATACCTTTCCCATGAAGAGGCTAGGGTAAAGTCATCAAAATGTTCTAACTGCATGATAATAAACCATCAAGAAACAGTTAGTAGATCCTGTATTTCCTGGCATGTAAACGTCTTTAAGATTGACAGTACTATATACATGCACACACAGATTGCTAATATTCCAATGTAAACGGACTCCCCGTAAATGCTGTTTTTCAGGTAAATTACCTCAACCATTAACAAGAATGCTCAGAAGAACAACTCAACCTAACCTATCAACATTAATGAACGGTGTTGAAATCCTTTGAGCGTGAATTTGAGAATATCCCATCAACAAAATTAAAATAAAGCATTAGACATGCTTATAATTTGCTTTTTCTTCATTGTCCTCAGTGCAGCAGAAAATTGAGTACAACCATAGTATTTCCCTTCTTAAGGAAGAGACAACAGGGAAGAGACGCTACCATACAAACTTAATATAAAGAACCTTATTTATCAAAGGTTTACAAGTAGGCATTTTAAGTTAGCTTTTAATATAAGTCATAAGATGATATTCTTCTTTGAAATGCTCAACAACAACCAAGATCAATAATTAAGAATGACTTGATGCTCCAGTTTACTACTGTATACCACAACCGATATTCTTGATTATACTTTCCTCATTCCCACAAAGAGAGAGTGAGAGAGAGAGCTATGCATTGATTCTTTATGTCAAACAGATACCATCCAAAAGAAATTTCGATTTTTTTACCAATTTAAGACTGACATTCTTTGATACGTAGCAAATTAACAAGGTTGAAATCGTATCCTTGATTTCTTTCTCAAAACTTCATGATTTGGCACGGTTGAAAATTGGCCAATTTAATCACCAGAGTCAAAGTGTAGCTCCTTTTTGTTGAAACGGGAGAAAGAAATTTAGGAGAGGAGTAGGGACACAGAGAAGATTGTGGCCATCAGTACCTCTTCTTCTTCCTCAGCCTCGTTTACCATCTCATTCCTTTTCTTACTAGATGACGCCATTAAATACCTAAGATCGACCTCCTGTGTAATAGCACAACAGCATCAAGCAGATTTTTTTAGAATCAAAATCAGGAAAATATCAAATCACATACTTAAGACCAAGATATCAAAACAACGAAAGTAACATAAATTTCGATGTAAATTAACCTACATCATGAAAAGCTATATAGTATTTGAATCAAAATCAAATTGAGGAAAATCCCACATCAGATACTTATGACCAATACATCAAAACAAGGGGACAAACATCAATGTTCAATAGAAACTGACCTAATTCATGAAACACATTGCAGTACTAAGTGGAATCAGTAGATTAACACTCCAAAACGAAAAGCTGCATAATATGTAAATCAACAGGGAATTGAAGAAAAGCACGTCGATTTTGGGTTTTGAAATCGAATTAACTGCGACGAGAAGACGATCAACTGGAAGGCAGACGAGATCTGTTGGTTAGCGATAGGCATAAAAAGCACGTCGATTTTGGGTTTTGAAAACCGTTAAGCGTTTGGTTATTGAAAAAAGGATTCACGACATTAAAAAACGTGATCGGCAGGATTCGAACCTGCGCGGGCAGAGCCCACATGATTTCTAGTCATGCCCGATAACCACTCCGGCACGATCACTTTGATGGCTTTTTTTGTAGAATCCTGTAAATATGTTTTCTTTAGATATTAATTTTGAGAATTCAAAATATTATGTCATCCACTCGTTTGATACAAACTCTATCACCCGATCAAATGTTGATCAGACTGTATTACTTTTGTAAAATCATTACTTCTGATCGCTCAAGATTTGATCGGGTAAACGCTTTTTTTTTTTTTAATTAACCTAGATATTCAATTCGCTATGCAAGTTGACTAATCTCAAAGTGTCCACCTGCTTTGTAGATAGTTTGGTGGTCATCCTGGGATTAGTCAGCTTACATAGCGGGTTGGATATCAGGTTAATAAAATAAAATGATGATAAAGTTCTTGGTCTTTGCTATATTTGGTAACTATATAAAAAAATCTTATCTCTCTTACTTACTGGATAAGGTTCTTGGTCTTTGTTATATTTTTTATAAGGTAAAATTCTCGATTTTTATCATGTTCAACCAGCAAAGCAAATGATACTTAGGATGCAGGGGCGGAGTCAGAAAATTTATCCAGCAGATGCCTAAAAAATGTAAAAAAAATTTACATTTTCAAGGTTTAGAAAACCCTTTTGAGTATATATATTTTTTAATTAATACTTGTCCTAAATATTGTAGTAAAAAAGTTGAAAAACATGAGTGACATAAACAACATAACTATGTCTATATTTATATTTATATAAACAAATACAAGATACGTGTAGATAACCATATAAATAAAAAAATCATTTGAAAATATATTTATCGTAACAAAATTTACGAAGACGGGACCCAAAAAAAAAGGAATTTGAGGCTGATTTTTTAGCGTTAATGAATGCATGACCTAATTAGATACTGTTGATTTGTTGAATTTGTCTAACAATAATACGGAAATTTTATATCTCTTGTAGGATTGTATCCTTGTATTGCTATTTTGGCATTTTTATGGGCTATTTGATAGTTGCAGAATGGTTTGGTACAAAGTGATTAAAGGGTTCTCATAATATAATACAAAATGAAATATAATTGTTTGTAATCGTTAAGATGAAAATAGGGCGTTTAATGGTTAAATAAGACCCATGATACAAAATCATTCAAAGGACTTTAAAACCATTAAAAGACAGACTTTTTTTGCCAAACAAGATTCACCTCTTAATGATTCAGAAACTGTCTCTTAATCAAACTATTAAGAGGTAAATAAACAACCCTTACATAATCTATAGGTTAACTAAAGATAGAAAATTTATGAACTCAATAACCTTCAAATATCCATAAAATCTAGAAAAGCTAGATCATTAGTTTATAAGATTGACTTTAACCCGATCACAAACATCATCCAAAAAAAGATGTACAAATTTTAACAGTCCGCCATCATCTCAATTTTACCATTTGCTAATGTACCACCAATCCTGCAACATATATCGAGTGTATATATATATATATATTTACTCAGTTTAACATACAAGAACACCACATCCTCCATCATGGATAAAAGAATGGTCATTTACACCCCCTAACTTCTTTCCACTTCACACACACACTCACCAGTTTCTGTCAAAAGATCTCACCATCCTCTAACTCCTCGTCATCATCATCGTCGATGTATTCATACCCGTAATAGTACTCGTCCTTCAACCGTAGTCCGAGTTTCTCCAACGGGTTTTTAATCCCTGAATATTGGCACAGTTTCTCGAGCTCCCTTAGAACCGTTAGATTGTCATCCATGGTTACTGTTCTTTCCATCTGAAACACACAAATAGGAACGGATAAGGAAACAGAATCGGGGGGTTTCAAGATTGTGAAAAGCATGCATACCTTTTCTACTCTCTCTCTTTCTCTATCGCGTCTCATTTGCAAATCAGACCTTGCGTTCTCGAGAATGGCTTCTTTAGCAGCTCGAGCAGCTCTGATTCGAGACTCAATATTTGACTTCTCTGTAAACAACGATTTGGTACATCATCATCATCATGAGGTTTTCATCCGATGAATGATGAATAATGGAACATAATACTAAATATACCAACTAATCCTTTCAACAAAGCAACTTTATCACTCAAGGGTTGTTTGGTTGATGCTGAAGGATTTGCTACAGAATGATCAAGTGGTTAGAATGATTAAAAGGCTCTGCATCATTGATCATGAATATTATTTAGTTAATGTATGATTAAGAAGCAAGTTCTTTCTCATATTGGTTACGTTTTGCCTTGCATATATACATACATACATACATATATAAACACTTCATTTTCTAGAATTGGCAAATCCCATATCCACAAATCAAACAATCGTATTTCCAAGCCCATGCCCTTGCAACATAGCTTATTTTGCATTGCTTCCTCTATCCCATGAAAATTGTACACCATCAGTTCATAATAAATGTTCACAATGAAAAAGACAGACAGTATTATAAACTTGTAACTATTAGTTATTACACTTTATAATTAACTATATGACAATTTTACCCTTATTAATAGAGAGAGTAATGAATGTCTCCAACTCATAATCAAGGGTAGAATTGGAAACTACGCACTTACTTCTGAAAGTGAACACTTATTTTGGGACAAACAAAAACAGAAATGCCTACACTTGTTCTAGAATAGAGGAAATAGCATTTTTCCATTCTAAGAAAGATTCCAGGTTAAATTACCTATTTGCCCAGCATCTATCATACTAAGAAACAGATGATAATAATTTGGATCTACAAGATTCATTTACTTGCTAAAGGGTATTTTAGATCTTTGACGTATGGTCGCATTATACTTCCACAATGTGTCGAGTCACACATTATCTTGAATCAAATAGAAGATAACACATTGAAGAAAACTTCACATATCATCATCTATAATGAATAAATAAGTCAACATCATCATCTATAATGAATGATTATTGTATGCACCTTCAAGTTTTTTTCTTTCTGATATTTCCTTCATCTGTTGAGTTTTTACATAATCGTCCTTGCCCTGCATGATATTCCATACTCGCATCAAAATCACAATATCATACAAAAATCAAAATCACATATAAGCATGAGGTCGTAGCTTTTACCTTCTCCGTACTCGTAGCCAAAGAACATTTCACGACTCGTTTCAACTCCCATAAAGTGTCGTCACCAAACGAACCAAAAACACTCTCGATTTTCTCTTTTCTCGAGTAAATCAAACCATATTTCCGAAGAAAACCACGCATTGGTCCACTTAAGTCACCTCTTAATGCCACCATAAGCTCCTTCTTGAGCCTCGCCTTTTCCTCACAAGATATGGGAGGTTTCTCCTCAGAACATGTTGAAGCCTTGCTTGTATCTTCCGTTTTCTTGGCTTTAACACCACCATTAAGACCCTGTTTTCTAGCGGTTTTGCTTTCGGAAGTCTTGGATGGTAGCTTGATTGTGTCTAGCGGAATCTTTGGTCTGCTATTTTGGACACCAATTTGTTTAACAGCCCTGCAACCTTGTGTTGAAATCTTAGCCGGTAAACTATGGTGACCCTGTTCTCCGCCATTTTTGCTCAGTTTTATCAACTTTGCCTCTAAAGATCGCCAACTTTTATCAAAAAGATCATTCATCTCTTTTGCCATCAAATGAACACAGTTATTAGGAGGATTATATCGCATAGCATTGGAAAATGTGAGCCTGATGTCAGCAGCAAATGCTTCTGAAGAAGAATAAGTATCATCCTCCAATTTCTTACGAATTGTCCCCAAATCCATAGGATGAGAGATTATCAAGAAATAATCAGGAATGCCCAGCTCAACAGGATCCACGGGTTGATTAAAAACTGGTCCAAATTTATGGGCCATCAATGTTTTGAGAATCTTTACGCACTCAATCCTAACACCGTGATCCATCTTCCGCTTTTTCTGGGGTTGACCCTCCAATATTTCAGGCGGTTCGTGCCTTTTCTTAGACCCCGGTAAAATGATTTTCACCATTTTCAGTAGCTCTGAACTCGAATGAAATCTATTTTCATGTGCTAAAGAAGGGATGCAAAATATCACACTGCATAAAGAAAAGGTTAGTAAATAAATATCCACCAAGATACAAGCAACAAAAGGGAAAACAAAAACACATACAACCACCACAGATTCAAAAGATACAGATTTCAATACAGATTACACAACAATAAATCTATAATCAAAATGAGATCAGCTTTGTCAAAATTTAACAACTAAGCCCATCAAATCTTCCCTAAGAAAGTAAAATAGGATGCCATAGGGTACCTTAAACAAATAATTGAAGTGGATAAACCCTAAGAACGATACCAATGAACATTGATGCTAACAATTAAAAGTTCCCCTAAATCCCCGTAAGAAACCCTATTAATATTGTCCTTAACGAAACCAAAATCATTAATACCGTTGAGGATAATTTACATTCATAAGCCCTAATTACAAAACCCACTAATGTAAACGAATTAGAATAGATTGTTTTAACTATGAACCAAAATACTAATTACTTCAACCAATAAACAAAATTCTTCGATACGTTCACGATGAAACCCTAAATATAGTTCCAAAAACAGATAAAAATCGAAGCAATTACCTTTTACGATTCGCTACTGTTAAACCCTAGTAACAAAACCCATAAACGTTTGACTCTAAACCAAATTCAACTAACGAGAGAATCAAAACCGTTAAACCCTAAAAAGAAATCCCACAGACATTGGTTCTAAACGGCTAAAACCCGATCCTATAAAATTTTAATCGAATAACAAATATCGTTAATCCCGATTCCCAATAAAAATCCCATAAATATTTGATCGAAAAAAAATTAAATTTGGAGCTTTAAACAATCAAATACGATACCTGAACTTGAATGCAGCCGGCGAAGTTCTTGTTTTCAGTTGTTGCGGTAAAGTGGCGAACAGGGAGAGTAGTAGTGACGAAATAAAATCCCGACTAAAATAGCTTAATGGGTCGGGTCGGGTCGGGTCAAATGATCCATAAAGAATATATAACTACGAAATTGGTCCCTCAACTGTTTGGTGACATCACTTTTAGTCCATAAACTATTTAAAGAAATGACGTTTAAGTGAGTTTTTGATTAAATTTATGACTTTTCAACATCTGTTAAAGAAAAAATGGCTTTATACTTATAAAAAAATCATCAATTTAATTAAAATCACATTGAAAGTTGTATACCTAAAAATCTATCTTTTTTGTCCAAAAATAAACCTAGCAACTCATATTCAATAATTTTAAGCCGCGAGAGAGGAAGACGACAATATGTAGATTGAAGAAGTAACACCAAAATAAGAAAATTATATACACATCATATATGGCCGTTCCAAAAAAAAATTATTTTTTGCATATTGCCACCAACATGTTTTTCAGAGGCGCCCAATCAAATGCACTAACTCATACATGGGCTTTGAATGGGGTTTATGGTTCTTACGGTAAAAAAAAAATTCTCACATGATTCCAAGTCATTCATATTTTAATAACTAAGATGGGGATGGAAATTATGAAATCTGTTGCTTTTTGAATTAAATGTTAATTGTGCAAAACACATGTTGTCCATTTCACAAATCCTCCCAAATTAATTTTAATGTAAAAATGTGAATCGATAAGTAATAAAATAAATTAAGGGGCAAAAGTTATAGGTTATTTAAAAGTCCAGGGTTGAATTTTGTAACTACTTGTTTATTTTAGTAAACTACAAATTTAGTTCTTATGATTTGTCAATAACATTTTTCGTCTTTACAGTTTCAAATTATAAGATGATCATCATCTATATCTATACTATATTATAAAGCATTTGACTAAAACTCTTAAACTCTTAAAACTCTTAAACTCTTAAAAMCTCTTAAACCCGTTCATCCCTATCCGATTTTATCCCATATCTGAATTCGTGTAACTAACTGCAAATAAATACAATCAAATACAGGATAAACATCTCATTTTAAATATAA